TAGTATGAGGGTGTCACTATAATTGGAGAATATTTTGCTTAAGCAGCACAGTGGTGTTCTGCCAATTCATATACCTTTTGTATGTCCTGATATTTCATAATAAAATTATAAAGAAGGAATTTTCTCTTTTGTTTGATCACTGCGAAGAAGTGGTGTCCTGTTCCCACTAAAGGTGAGGTCCGCGCCTGTGTTCCTCAAGGGGTGTCGGGGCCCCACGGGCAGTTCTCTCCTGCATGATCAGTGTGGCCCAGTCTTCAACATATTCTATTCCACCCACTTTAAAAGACACCTCCCTCCGGGGCGTCGTTGGCTCACGCCTGTAATCCTAGCACTCTGGAGGCCGAGGTGGGCGGATCGCTCAAGGTCAGGAGTTCGAAACCAGCCTGAGCAAGAGCACAAAACCCCGTCTCTACATATAAATAGAAATAATTAAGGGGCCAACTAAAAATATATACGAAAAATTAGGCCGGCCTGGTGGTGCATGCCTGGCCCCAGTCTACTCGGGAGGCTGAGCAGGAGGATCGCTTGGGCCAGGAGTTTGAGGTTGCTGTGAGCTAGGCTGACGCCCGGCACTCGTAGCCCGGGCAACAGACTGAGACTCTGTCAAAAAAAAAATTAAAATAAAAGTTAAATAAAAGACACCTCCTTTATGCCACATCCCCTAAAGCCATGGCCCAGTTCTCCATTCTCCCTTAGAGCCACTCTGGAAAGAGCGATCCCTCGTGTGCCTAGCTGCCCTCTTCCTACTTCCTCCCAGACTTGCTTCTGTGCCCACCTCTCCTTGGAACTGCTGCACCAAACTCACGGGCGACCTCGTGTTGACCACCAAGTGGACACTCTGTCCTTGCAGCAGGTGGCAGAGCAAATTATCCTCCTCCTTGAAACCCTGACTCCGTCCACACGCTTCTGTTCTTCTGCCACCACCTGCACCCCATCTTTCTGTTTCCTTTGCTGGCTTGATCTTGGGACCCATTTTCCTCTCTCATCTACCTCTTCCCCTTAGTTGATTTCTGCCAGCCCATGACCTTACACACACCTGTATCCTCCCAGGATACACACTTCTAACCCTGGACCAAAATACCAATTGCCTACTTGACATTGAAGATGGATAAACCCAAACCCAAACTGGGGCAATTCCTCTCCTGCCATATCCACACTGATGCCCAATAAGGGTAGATGAGCGCACAATTCACCATCCAAACAGACACTCTAAGAGCTCAAGGGGGTTCTATTAATAAGCTAAAACCACAGAAATGACTTGAACTTCCTGGAAAACTGGGACTAGATCACCGTGTATTAGTGAAGATTTTCCATCCTAACATGTTCAAGATGGAATCTCTGATCCACCTTAAAGTCTGTCCTTCCTCTACTCCCATTTCAGTAAAAGGCAGCTGTACCTGTCTATTTTCTCAAAGAAAAACCCAGGATGAAACTATAAAGCCCATGATTCTTGAGTGTTATCTCCTCTCCCATGAAATCTATCCACACATCCATAATGGTCGATCTGAAATACATGCGAATCCTGACACACTTTCTGCATTTCCATGCTGGCACTCTGGGCCAGCCACCTATGCCTTGCCTGCTGGCCAGTCTTCCTGCTCCCACTTTTGTCCTCTCGACAGCTGCCAAGCGAGCCTTCAGTCACGCACCCGCAGTTAAAAGGTTCACAGTGAATGAATTATCACCGTCCACTGTAACACCGAGGAGTCTCCCAAACACGGCGGGACGAAAGAAGCCAGGACACAAGGAGCACGGGATGCTGATTCCTTTATAGAAAGTCCAGAAACAGGAAAACACTAATCTATGATTCTAGAAGTCAGGAAAGTGAGTTCTGGTGTTTGATCTGGGTGCTGGTTGCACAGGGAATATTTGTTCATGAAAACTCATTAAGCTTATACAGCTTGTGACCTGTACACTTTGTCTATATATAATTTCAATTAAAATTTTTAAAGCAAAACACCCTTCAGCAGCTTCCCTTCATACTTGGAATAAAATCCAAACCCCTTGCTCTGGCTGGGAGGAGGATCCTTGGTGATCTGGGCTCATCTTCCTCCGTCCGGTTCTCTCTGGCTTGTCACACTCCAGTCACACTGGCCCTCTTTCTGCTTCTCCAGTAAACCAAGCCCGGTTCTGCCCAGGACCTTTGCCCTGGCTGTTGCCTCTTCCCGATTTCTGAATGGTCATCCAGTTCTCAGCTCAGATGTCACCTGGGAAAGGCCTCTCTACTTAGCGTCACAAACCTCACAATTTCCTTTAAAGCACTTCTCCTTCTGTGTACTGTATCTTGTCTTTTTGTTTGGTTTGTTGTCTAGACCACCTGCCACCACACTTAGGCTCTGGGCAATAGTGACACTGCATCCCAGAGCCTGGTGTGCCCTGGCCCTTGGGAGGTGCTCAATAAGCACTTGCAGGGTGGAGGATGCCACTAGGACAGCAGACCAGCAGCAGGGCCTCGAAGCAATGGCAGGGACCCTAGAAGTGTTGATTAGGCCCAGCCCAGGGCACTGGGAGGCAGAAATGGAGGAGGAAGAGAGTGCTGAGGATGACTTAGTAACATGAAGTTGGTGGGCTTGGAGATTTAACCTTCAAGTACTTTTTTTTTTTTTTTGAGACAGGGCTAGAGTGCAGTGGTGTCATCATACATAGCTCACAGCATCCTCAAACTCCTGTACTCTAGCGATCCCCTGCCTCACCCTCCAAGTAGCTGGGACTACAGGCATGCACCACCATGCCTGGCTGATTTTTCTATTTTTTGTAGAGACGGCTTTCTCACTCTTTCAGGCTGGTCTTGAACTCCTAGCCTCAAGTGATCCTCCCATCTCAGCCTCCCAGAGTGCTGGGATTACAGGCATGAGCCACTGTGCCCAGCTTCCGGTCACTTCTTACTGCCTCACAAGATAAAAACCACAGTCTTTGCCATGGCCCTAGCAGCCCTATGGGATCTGTCCCCTTCTCCTCTGTGACTTCTTCCTCTGCCTCCCCCACTCCCTCCACTCCAGCCCTACGGTCCCCTGCTCATCTTGAGCTTCCCAACGTGCTCTGCCCCAGGACCTCTGCACGTGCCGTTCCTCTGCCAGGCTGCTCTTCCCTGAGAACTCCACAGTGCCCTCTCTCACTCCCTTCAGGTCCCTGACCCCATGTCACCTTCACAGCGAGGCCTTCCTTCCCAGCCCTGTCCCCTTCCCTGCTTCATTTGTCGCCACGCCTTATAGCAGCTACCCCGACACACCACACAGTTCGCCCGCTTGTTTATCATCTCTCCCTTCACTGCAGCTTGCGAGAGGAAGGATTCCATGCCAGGTCTCTCTGACCCCCAGGCACTGGCTCTTAACCACTGCGCATTAGGGCTCCAGGTGGCTGCTGCTCCATGGACACCCCGCAGTCCCGCAGGGAAGCGTGCCACCCCCCCAGGGACACCCATGCTGCCCCCAGCTCTGGGCTGGGCACAGAGGAAGGCATCGGCCCCGTGCCAAGGTTCCCCCACCTGCTTCCCCCAAATCCCCAGGCACTGACAGTCTCCAGCTGGAGCCGGGTGCTCCCGGCAGCCTGGCACCGGCTGGCGGGCGCCAGCTCCTGGCAGAGGGGCTGGTGTGTAATTAGAAACTCTGCAAGCTCCCTAATTGCCAGTTCTTCTCCCAAACCGGGAGGCTGGCGCTATTCTCAGCCGCCCTTATTGCCGGCTGCCTGAGGCATGGAGAGGGGAGCAGGCCAAGCACAGAGCCAGGCTGGCTTAGAGGTGGCCCTTCGGAGGGCCGGCGAGGTCAGAGGGGGCTGCATGGTGGAGAAGGGCTGGCGAGGGCCCGAGGCTAAACGTGGCGCCGAGAGGGCTGCGTCCCCTCCTTGGAGTCCAGCCTGTAGCCCAGCACAGTCTGCTCTGCGGCCACCTCCTGCCCTCCCTGCTCCCACCCGTGCCCAGAGCAGCGACAGCAAACCAGCACAGCCATTCATTCTTTATTCAGGTGGCATAAAAATCACTACAAAAACTTTACAAAAGAGCCTTAGGGGGATAAGGGGGCCCTTCCCTGCCTCGGCCCCTGAGCTACTGGGCAGAGGAGGAAGACTGGAGGAGGGAAGGGGAACCCGGCAGTGTTGGCATCCCCGTGCCAACTGTGGGGAGATTGGGGCAACAGGGCACGGGGCAGGCTGGGGGCTGGCAGGCCTTCAGCAAGTTACATCAGAGTCAGGTCATGCTGGACACTCGACCTCCACCTACAGAGCAGGACACAAGGCCCCAGGAGAGGCCGGGGCAGCCCATGGTCACACCCCAGGACAACGCTCTGCCTCCTGAGGCCTGGGGCCTGTCTCTGCCACTGGGGCCTGTCTCTCCTCTTCCTATCCAAGGTGTCCAGGGATGTGTCCAAAGGCAGCCTCTCCCTCCTGTCCCTCCCTCTCTGGTAAACAAAAGTGTAGGTGTCCCAGCTGGCAGGGAACAACCCAACCCATCTGGGGACAAAACTGGATCCAAGCTGCCCCACTGCCCAAGCCCCAGAATACAACACCTTCTGAGCCCCTTTGGAAGAAATGAGGGATCAGGCTGGGGATTCCCTGATGCCTGCCCTCCTCCCAGCCCCACCCCCCGGACTCCCCAAGAGGCACGGGAAAGAATGGCTCCTCTCCCCTCCGGCTGCCCGCCCAGGCCCTGCCCCCAATCCCACAGCGCTGGGTGGAAAGAGTCACATGAGTTGAGAGGCTGGTCCAGGCAGGGACTCAGGTTGCTGGTGGCCATGGCCCCTCACTTGGGGCTGTTAGGCTGGGGGTAATCCTCCTCTGAGGGGGGTGCAAGTTTCAAGTCAGGGACGAAGAGCTTGTCCCCGCGGGGGAAGGCTTTCTGGTCCCAGAGGAAGTCCTTGCTGTCGGGGGAGTCCTGCTGCTCCTTGGGCTCCCGCGCTGCACTGGGGTTGGGGTTCCTCACGCTGCCCACAAAGAGGGGCAGGCCTGTGGTGTCCTCGACGATGAGGAAGAGGAAGGGGCGGTTCACATTGAAGGAGGAGAGGGACATGCGGGACATGGCCGTGCTGGTTGCTGCGGCCGCCTCCACGCCAACCTCACTGAGCTCCAGCGTGGACTGATGCTGCACACTTGACACCACCAGCCTCTCATCAGAGATCCCGCGCAGGTCTGGGGCCTGGAACAGCTCCTGCAGGCCTGCCCAGGGCCGGAGGTGTCTGGTCAGAGCTGCTCTCTGCTCCACGGGCTGCCTGGACCTGATCGGGAGGGTGTCTACATCCCAGCCAGGGGACACCTCGAACTCACAGATCCCTGCTTAACTCCTATTTAACCTTCAAGTCTCAGCTTAAACATCACTTCCTCCAGGAAGCCTTCCCTGATTCTCAGCTCCAAAGTCCAGTTTAGGTGCCGTTTCAATGTTCTCCAGGGTGAACTGGAGAGAAGCCCTCTGTCTTAGTCACTTATGCTTAATTGTAAGTATCTGACTCCTTGTCTGCCCACCCCATGAGACCTAGCTCTCTGTATATGGTGCCTGGTACAGTGCCCGGAATGTAGAAGTTGCTTAGCAAATGGCTGATGGGTAGATGCATCTCTTTAACAGCAGGACACCCCAGTTTTTCCTTCGCTCGCTCCCAGGGGAGCCACCCCAGGCTCTCCACCTCGGATTCTTTGCAATGCTTGGTCTTGGGCCACAGAGTAGGTTCCCATTCCCTGGGGCACCCCAGCTTGCCCTAGGACAGAGGTTCCAGGGGCTCCTATCAAACCCTCTCTCTCTCTCCCAAATCCCTGGAAAACACAGGACACAGGGCCAGCTCTGACTCAGACTCACTGCCAGCTAGGGGCCTCCTCCTCGCCCACCCAGCCCAGCCCGACCCCGGGGGCTGGCCCACACCCAGCTCCTTACCCAGCTGGCTGAGGGTGGCCACCAGGTCCAGTTGGTGTTTCAGATACAGCTTGGGCATCCGGACCTTGGTGGGCCTCTCCCGCAGTGAGGGCTGGCGCAGGGTGTCCCAGCTCAGGTTGGCCAGCACTTGGGATGCATTCCACTCAAAGTGGGTGGGCACGATGACCACAAAGGTCATGTTGTTCTTAAAGGGGAAGTGAGCCACCTACAGATAAGGGAAAGAGAGAACTTAAGGACCAGAAAGCACCCAAACCTAGGTGGGGGCTGGCTAGCATGTACTTCTTTTTTGTTTTGTTTTGTTTTGTTTTGTTTTTAGAGACAGAGTCTCGCTCTGTCGCCCAGGCTGGAGTGCAGTGGCATGATCTTAGCTCACTGCAGCTTCCAACTCCTAGGCTTCAAGCAGTCTTCCAGACTCAGCTTCCTGAGTAGCTGGGACTACAAGTGTATGTCACCATGCCTGGCTAATTTTTTAATTTTTTGTAGAGACAGGGTCTTGTTATGTTGCCCAGGCTTGTCTCAAACTCCTAGCCTCAAATGTTCCTCCCACCTAAGCCTCCTGGGATCACAGGTGTGAGCCACTGTACTCAACCAGCATGTACTTCTGAGACCCCAGCCCATCCTTATCAGCTGTGTGCCTGACCTCACTCAGCCTTCACTTCCTCATCTGTGAAGTGGAGTCACACTACCTGTCCCATTGCAGGTTGACATGTGACCAAATGAGATAATGCTTTTTTTTTTTTTTGAGACAGAGTCTCACTTTGTTGCCCAGGTTAGAGTGAGTGCCGTGGCATCAGCCTAGCTCACAGCAACCTCAATCTCCTAGACTCAAGCAATCCTCCTGCCTCAGCCTCCCAAGTAGCTGGGACTACAAGCATGTGCCACCATGCCCGGCTAATTTTTTTTTCTATATATATTAGTTGGCCAATTAATTTCTTTCTATTTATAGTAGAGACGGGGTCTCACTCTTGCTCAGGCTGATCTCAAACTCCTGACCTCGAGTAATCCACCCACCTCGGCCTCCCAGAGTGCTAGGATTACAGGCATGAGCCACCGTGCCCAGCCCTAATTTCTTAACTGTGGAGATTTTTTAAAGCAAACTTTAGGCGGGGACGGGGGGAGACCAGAATAATAAATTGTTCCTCAGATATATTCCTACTTTGAATATTATTCTTTACATTAAAAGGAGAGGCAGGCAGGGATAGCAAACAGAGCCCGGCCGAGATAATGCTTTTAAAAATGCTAGCAGCGTCTGCACTAATAGGCAGCACTTAATAAATGGTGGTTGTCTCTCTTTTCCTTCTACCAGCTAGCTGGGTGACTTGGGGTAAGGAATCGCCTGTCTTCACCTCTCAGTTTCTCCATGGGTACCATAGACAAGTCACTGGTTTTCATACTTCACTCCGGTTCTGTAGAGGGGCCACAGCAAAGGGTGATACTCTCCCAACCTCTCTCACCTCCCTCCAGTGACTTTGCCAGCTGTGTGTATATACTGTGAAGATTTGGGGTGAAGATTCCATGTGAAGGGGTTCTGCAGCTAAAGCAGTGTGGATGGCCGGGCGCGGTGGCTCACACCTGTACGTAATCCTAGCACTCTGGGAGGCCGAGGCAGGCGATTGCTCGAGGTCAGGAGTTCGAAACCAGCCTGAGCAAGAGCGAGACCCCGTCTCTACTATAAATAGCAAGAAATCAATTGGCCAACAAATATATATAGAAAAAATTAGCCGGGCATGGTGGCGCATGCCTGTAGTCCCAGCTACTCGGGAGGCTGAGGCAGCAGGATTGCTTGAGCCCAGAAGTTTGAGGTTGCTGTGAGCTAGGCTGATGCCACGGCACTCACTCTAGCCTGGGCAACAAAGCGAGACTCTGTCTCAAAAAATAATAATAATAAAATAAAAAATAAATAAACCAGTGTGGACACCACCGGCCTTGGGGGACTCTTGCAGCTGTGACTCCGTGGGCTCTAGGCAGAGTGTCAGCACACCCTGCCCATGGGAGGAGGAGCGCCAGGGTCTGGCCGCCTGGTCCCGCCCCCAGAGGGCCTGAGGAAGAGAAAGGCTGAAGGAGACAAGGAAATGGAGACGAAAGGATGCAGGATGAGCGCGCAGGACACAGCCTGGAGGTCAGAAGCAGCAGGAAGAGGGGAGCTGGTGGGGAAGCGAACCAGACTGTCTCCTTTCAGAGTGAGCTGGACAGAAGCCAGGAGGACATTGCTCCAAGGGCCTGCCTTGCCTATGGCCCCGTCCCATGAGGGCTGCCCACGTGACTCCTTGGCTCCTTCTGGCAGCAGTGGCTATGCTCTGGGTCATGCTTGCCTTGTGAAACTAACCAACACCGCACTCTCAGCCACAGTTGACTGGTCCAGGGATCAATGCCCAAGCCAAGGGGACCACGTTTAGGCTAGAACCAAGAGATGCCACATCTGAGATAGTTTGGCATGAAACTCTATCCAATCAGAATATTCCATGCAGGATAATGAGAAATCCAACCCCATCAGATCCTCCCTTCTCTTTTTTTTTTTTTTTTTTTTTTTTGAGACAGAGTCTCACTCTGTTGCCGTGGCATCAGCCTAGCTCACAACAACCTCAAACTCCTGGGCACAAGCAATCTTTCTGCCTCAGCCTCCTGAGTAGCTGGGACTACAGGCATGCGCCACCATGGCCCGGCTAATTTTTTCTATATATTTTTAGTTGACCAATTAATTTCTTTCTATTTATAGTAGAGACAGTGTCTCGCTCTTGCTCAGGCTGGTTTCACTCTTGCTCAGGCTGGTTTTGAACTCCTGATCTTGAACAATCTGTCCACCTCGGCCACTCAGAGTGCTAGGATTACAGGCGTGAGCCACCACACCCAGCCCAGATCCTCCCTTCTAAGGATACTGCCTGAGAGTTCAGGTCACGTCTCCCAGGCTTAGGAGTGCTGAGACCTTGAGTGGCTACACGGCTGCTGCGGTGGTCCCCATCTTGCCCCACAATTCATGGGCCCTTGTAAAAAACTCCCATCACCAAAGGTCACCTGGGTCTCCCTCAATTCCCACTCCTCAAAGAATTCTCCCTGACCACAGGGAGAATCTATCTAAAATGCTTTCCCCAGCCACTAACAGATCACCTTCTTTTTAAATTTTTCTTTCATAGCACTTACCAGTCTGACATTACTGTTGATTTACATTTGCTCGTGCATCTTCCCTCCTAAGAGCAGGGACCTGATCTCCCTTGTGCTCTACAAAAGCCTCAGTGCCTAGAACAATATCTGGCACACAGCAAATACCCAGTATATTTTTGTTGGATGAATGAATCTGAAAAAGCCCGGGCCTTCAGTCCTCCTAGGTGGGGGCATAGTGCTGCCTGCCCCAGGGACACAGCTGCAAGGACGGTGGGCCACGCCCCTACACTCACACCCCTGCTGGGCAACCAAGGGTGACCTGTATCTCAGGCTGCTCCAGCAAGAACCAGCGCAGAGGGTACGTGCGGGCTTGCATCATTTCCACCGGCACCGTGAACTGCTCGTCCAGGTGGAAGGAGTCTCTCTGGGTGAGGTTCGGGTCAAACTTGCTCTTCCAGAAACCTGCAGCCAGGCAGAGGGCAGGGGCCATGTAGACTGGGACCAGCGTGGGTTCTACACCCACAGCCTCTTGCTCATCCCACCCAGAACCCATTTTGGGGGGTGAGAGGCCGAGGCCAAGACCTCAGGGGGTGCAGAGCCAGTTGGCGCCAGTTGGACTGAGGCATTCCCTGTAGCATTTTTGAAACCTGGGCTTGTATTTTCCCCATCCCCTGCATGGCTCCCAGGAAGTCCCCCCTGGCTGTTTCAGACTGTTTCCTCCCAGGGTGCTCTTTCTACGACACCCTTATCCGGTTCCTGGGCCCCACACCCACTGCACCCAGAAGGCCCTGCACCTCACAGCCCAGCCTGAGGAGGATAAGGGACCTTGAGGACAAAGCCTGCTCAGCCCCGCCCAGCCTACAGGGTGGGGGTGGGGCTGCCAAGGCAGGGGATGTGAGGAGAGGAGCAGCGCACCCTGGAAGTGGATGGCATTGAGGAGAAGCAACACCGTGCTATCTGGCAGCTCCGAGAGGAATTCCTGAATCTTCCCCTCTGTGGCCTCTTTCACCCATTGGTTGATGTTTGCCAGGTCCTCCTCCTGCCTTCCCGTCAGGCTCCTGGGCTTTGCACCAAAGAGCTGTTCTGATTGTTCCAGGAAATCCTCTTTGATGGGAAATCCTACGCACAGAGGGCCACAAGCTGTTCCCAGGGCTCAGGGCTCCACGGCCACTGATGCTGGGACTAGCTACCTGAGGCCAAGCCTGCCCATGTCCCTCACCATGCTCCACCCTGGGGAGTATACTACCTAGGGAGCTCCCTGCCGCCAGCACCTACCTTTCTGCACATACATTCTGGCTGCCAATCGGAATGCCCCGGGGCCCAGGTTCTGGCAGAGGCGGCTCAGCAGGTGGGGGAGGCAGGGCCCTGACTCTGCATGCAGCACCTGCTGCAACTTCTGCAGCGTGTGGTTCTGAGCACCTAGAGGGGACCACATGTTCTTGCTCACCCCCACTGCCCACTCCTGGAAGCCCGTGATGAGCATGCCTGCAGGACCACACACACTCCTCCAATATGCACTGAACTGGTCTGAGCAACAGGCACCTCCCCCCATCTACTTTCATCTCTGCTGCTGACAGGCTGGGTGACCTCACCTTATGCAAGGTGCCTTCCCTCTCTGGACCTCAGTTTCCCACAGTGGAACCCTCCAGTACCATCAGAGATACCGTAGCTACCAAACTCTTGCAAAACAATCACCTGGAGAACTGATAAATAAGCAGATCCGCCAGCCCAATCCCTGGGAATCAGATTCACAGAGACTGCATTTTTACCAAACATCCAAGGGACCCTGACGGAGGAGCTACCCGCTGATAACCTCTGGAGTAACGAGTTCCTACTGGCCTCCCAGCTCTGTTGGTCTGGACAAATGCCGCCATGGTACCTAGTGCCAGGTGAGACAATGCCAGGGCCACACTTAGGGGCGACAGGATGAGGTTGGGGCAAGAGGACGTTTGGGCCACCAGGGAGAATAGGTCAACAGTGAAGGCCATCATGGCCTGGGCCAGCCTGCGGGTCTGCTCCGGCGTTGGGGCTCCCTTGCAGTGTTCTAGGGAGGACATCTTCAGGGTAGTCTGGCCACCAGGCTCCTGCAGGAACAGATCAGGGGTCAGTTAGGTCAAGGAGTCATCTCCAGGCTCTGTGTCCCCTTCATAGCCCCTGTGCCTGGGGACAGCGGGGCCTTGTCCCAGTCACACAATGGGCACTCTCTATTTCTCGGGTCCTTCCCACCCCCTCCCTCTGGCCTGAAAACTCCAGAGCCGCGGCCTCGAGGCCACGCCCCCCGCCCGTGCCTCAGCCGATTGGCCCTCGTCCCTCTGGCCCCGCCCACTCTTCCCCAGCCCCACCTGGTTGTACCTGGTTGCCCAACTTGAGGAGGAAAAGCGGGGGCAGCTTCTCCTGGCTCTGCCCGGCAGTTAGCTGCGGTAAGGAGGAAGCAGATGGAGAGGGACCCTTCCCACAGGTCCCCACCCTGCCCAAGCCGCGGGCGACACCCGTGGGGCCTTCCTCCCTCTCACAGGCTCCTCGCTCCCCGGTACCTGCTGGGCCACGGGCTCCGCGGCGCCCACGGGAGAGAACTGTTGAGAAAGGGATGAGGATGGGAGGCGCCCTCGGGGCCAACCCTCCCTCACCCTAGCGCTGCCCCTCCGCCCCGCGGCCCCTGCGGCCCCCGTGGCCTCTCCCACGCCCGCCGCCAGCGCCCCTCCCGGCCTCACCACCGAGCACGGGCCGTGCAGGCAGGACAAGCTGAGCACTAGGAGCCCCCGGAGCAGCGCCATGTTCCTGCGTGGGGACAGGAAGCCTTAGTTCCCGCCGCCACCCACACGGTCACGGACACGGCCAGGTCCTGCGCCAGCGTGGCCCAGGAGAAAAGGCCGCTACAGACCCAGATCACACAGCCAAAGCACATTAGCAGTGGTTCTCCTTTCTGAGGGGTGGGACTTCCCCTTCCATCTCTCCCCCCGCAACCTTCTGGTTTTTCACATTTCATGCACTGAGGATTTTTTGGTTAATAGAGGGGAAAACAAAAACAGGCCTCATTCCTCAAGGCCTTGCATGGTGAGTCAGACCTGGCTCTCAGTCCAGCCTCTGCCTCTTGCCGAAGGCCCTTGGGCATCTTCCCTAACCCCTTCATGCTTTGCGTTGTCTTGTAAAATGGTGGCAAAAGTCTCTACCTCCTCTCACGGGCATTGTGAGGACCAAAATAAGAGTCTTTGTAAACCCTGAATAGGATGCCTGGCGCTCCATTGATGGCTGCTGTCAGCCTTGCTCAAGGTCCCCTCCTCTGGGGAGCCTGCCCTGAAGCCTCTTCCGGAGAGCCCCCACCCCAGAGCTCCCACCCGACCTGCTGTCCATTTGGCCAGCCTTTCCCAGGCTGGTCTGTCAGGTTTTGTCCAAAAGGCTGGACAGGCCTGTGCGGCCCTGAGGTCTTAGCAGGGGTGGTGAGGTTGCCAGACAGCTGCCTTGTTGACCCAGCAGGAGAGCCCAGTGAGTGACTCTGGCTAGAGCCACCTTTGGACTTACTGGAACCACAGGGCTCAACCCCTACTCTGCCCCGGGCTGGCTCTGGGAATCCAGGCTGGCAGGTGGGCACAGGCAAGTCTTGGTCTTGAGAGGATCTATTAGAGCAGGTCTCACACTTTCACCCCCATCTCAGGGCCAATCCTTCTGGAAGATCCTTCTACCCCCAACCCCATCACACATAGGAGCCCTTGCCCGGGGTCTTGAACTCCAACCTGGGTATTTGAATCTTCCTGGCAAGAAAAGGCTTCCAGATTTTCAAGTCCCAGAGGGACTGCTCCTGAAGCCCCCATCTTGGCTCCTCACCATCCTGGGAGGCTGGAAACTACAGGCCTCCTGAATAAATCCAGTCCAGACCCCTCAGCCAGGCTGGGTAGCTTCCCCACCTCTCCCCCTGCCCAAGGAGCAGGCTGAGCCACCCCTCCACTCATACCTCTGCAGGCTCCTTGCTGTGTACACCACGTTCCTCTGGCCCCACTTGGGTGCTCCCCACGCTCTGCCCGGGCTCCAGCCAGCCCAGCCAAGCCCTCCCCTCCCACCAGGACCTTTGCTCTTAGCCAACCCCTGTTCCGATTATTCAGATTGCCTTCTCTTCTGGTAAATATTGACCTGCATATCCGGTTAAACATTGATATTGGGACCAGAAGCCCCTTTCCTACCAGGACATCTAATCCTGAGACAGCCACTCAGAACCCCCATGAATTTGGGTCCCACTTGAACCTGGAAAAAGCAAGCTCAGTAGGAGAGTGTTAAGGAGGCTGGCTCTGGCCAGCCAAGAGGGCAGATCCAGAAAGCACAGGAGCCTGGCACTATGTCAAGCCTTCCAGCAACCCCACGAGGTACGGATTATCCCTGGCTTAGTCAGGCTCAGAGAGGCTACGTGACCTGCCCAAGGACACAGAGCTGGGCCCAGAGTCACATCCAGATGCTCACTTCCAATGTCCTTTCCTTGCCCCCTCCCAAGGGGAGGCTGCAGGAGCCTCTGCGAAGATGCCCACCCCAGCATGACAAGCCCAGGATCCTGGTTGGCTGGTCTCAATCTGGCCTGGGAGGCAAGGGGTGGGGAGAGGAGAGAGGCAGAGGGGCGCAACCTCTCCCCACATCCTACCTATTCCTTACCCTACCCAAGGGTGAGGGTTCTGGAAACTGGCCTGGGGCCACACAAACCAGAAACCCTGCACCCCTTGCTGCCCAGGGAGCAATCAATAATCAGGCTACCTCCCCACCCTCCTGCCCTACTCCTCACCCCATTCTCACTGCCCTGGAAGCTGCTGGCCTCAACTTTTCCCCACCCTGCCACCACCACCAAGACAAGCCACACTCTGTTCCATGGCTCTTCCAAAGGATTTATTGGTCATATTTACATCTATTGCAAATAGTGAGGAGGCAGCCGGAGCCAACCCTCAGATCTCATCTCTGCTCCAGAACGTGAGGACCCTGGCAGGGACCTGAGATGCAGAATGATTCTTCTCACCCCTTCTCTAAGGGGCTCTGGGCCCAAGGGCTGCCTCCTCAGCTCAAGGCACAAACACTGTGGTTAGAGGTGGCCAGGCAAGGCATGGGGTCACTCCTAGCGGGCACCAACTGGCCAGCCCACCTCTCCTCCCCTGCTCCTACCCTTTATTCCCTCCTGGTCCTACACTGGGCAGGGCCTGGCTGGGTGGACACTTAAACCTCAGACCAAGGCCCCGAACTCCTGGACTACGGCCAGCCCTCCTTAGGCTGGAGTCCAAGCACCATCAGTGCCCCGGACCAGGGCAGCTTCCCTGTCCTTGAGGGACAGGGGCAGAGAAAGCCCAACGGGAAGGGGGTGGTGGAGAAGTTGGTTATAGACTGGCTGGGCAGGGCCAGTCTCCCTTCCCCTTCCCGGAGTTTCCCTGCCCCCACGTGGACCCAGAGAGTAGAGTTGGGGAGAAGTGAGGGTAGTGATGCTTCTTCCTGCTCTCCATCTTGCTTCCTGCTGGCTAGTAGCAGCATTTCCCCAAGCCATGAATGAGAGCCTTTCTGGCAACACTGGTGGCTCTGGGGATTCAGGGGCCATGCCCCTCCCAACCCCAGTTGGAGGCCATAGCAGGCAGGCCACGTGGGTACACAGGGTGTGAGGCCTGGGGCCTGCCTGGAGAGAGCTGCTAGCGGAAAAAGGGTGAGGGGATGGACTCCCTGGGGATGTCTGCCTGCCCTTGCCTAGCCTATGCCAGGAGGCGGATGACCCCGTTGTCTGAGCCCAGTAAGAGGTGGCGTTTGGTGGGTAGCAAGGCCAGGCTGGTAAGCGTGCCACGGAAGTTCTCAGAGCTGAGCTTGGTGGTGGCTTGGGAGGGTGGTTCCAGCAGGGAGCAGACACCAATCTTGTTGGCCACGGTGCCGGTGACCACCTCGCTGCCGTACAGGTCAAAGGTGTGGATGGGGTCGGACGCTGACTTGTAGTGGTGCATGGGCTTCTGCTCCAGCTCCTTCCAGACGGTCAAGGAGTGGTCAGAGGAAGAGCTGACCAGGACACTGCCCTCCACCGCCTGCCCAGGGAGAGGACAGCCTCAGCAGGGGCCTGGGCCCTCCCATATGCCCCCGAGGCCTCCGATTCCCTCCCCGTCTTTCAGGGAAGACAGGCCATCCTGAGTGGGTGACAGGCTGCCATCTTCCCACATCATATTAATGTTGGTTAATAGTAACATAGTCAGTAGCCCGGTCACCACTCTAACTGGAGAACTGTGAGCAGGCGCTGTGCTAGGCATTACCACATCTAATCTTTACAACAACCACATGAGGTCGATGCTGCCTTTGTCCCCATTTTACAGAGAAAAAACTGAGGCTCAGAGAAGTTAAGTAATCATACAGGGAGCCAGGGAGCCTGTAAGGGAGCCAGTCAGGGAGCCACTAAGTGGCAGAGCCAAGATTAACACCCAGGCTGACCCCAGAGGCCTCCTGACGCTTTCTTGGAAAGTTGAAATCTAGAGGCACCTGGAGTCCAGGTCTCCCTGGGGCCCATGGAGGGAGCCGGCAACAAGCCTGCCCTCAGCGTGGCAAGGCATGCTCCTGGTCCCCAACCAAGCCGGAAGGGAAGTCCCACTTGCCTGCAGAAATCCTCCCACAAGTAACCATGTTCCTCCTCTCCGGGCCCTCCCTGAGAAGCTCCCCAAGGCCTGTGATTGAGGATGGGGGGAGGGTTCCCATGGTCAGGATGGCTCCTGCCCCCACCAGGGCAGCCTAGCAGGGGCATGGACTCTGCTCAGTGGTCTGGGGGCAGTAAACAGCCTCCTAGCTGAGCTTTATTTAACCTGAACTGGGTCACGGACAGGGCCTGACCCCTGATCCTCCAAGCAAGACAAATATGGACAAAAGTTACTCATTAGAACATCTCCATGTGCAGCGGGGTCAGTTCTGCCCCTGGCTCCCACCTCCTGGCCTGTCTTCTGCCTAGGTCCCTGTAGTGCAGCTGGCTCCTGAGTTGGCCCAGGTGAGGGCCACCCTCCCTGCCCATCAGTCCTTGATCATGTGTAGGGAAGACCAGCTCAAGCCTGTCCCTGGGCAGGTAAGCCCTAAGCAGAGGGAGGGGCTGGGGCTGGGCAGTGAGGAAGGGAAGAGGACCCAGCTCATCACCTTGATCTGCAGGATGTCCCCCTCGTGAGCTGGCCAGCCTCGCAGAACTAGGCCCGTGCGGGTGTCCAGGAGCACCATGAAGCCCGAGGAGAAGCCGGCCACGACGCTACGGCCACTGGGGCTGACCGCCAAGGAGCGCACAAGCCCAGGATTCAGCCCGCCGCCCAGGCGGAACTCGTGCTGCAGGCAGAGGGAGGCTGAACTGAGGCATCACCCTCCACCCCATCCCGCTGTCCCTAAGGTCTTGCTCACCCTCCAAGCCCATACAGCAGCAAGGCCTGAACCTCCGACCCTCATCAAGGGAAAGGAACAGCCCAGAACCCCACCCCCGTCACAGGCTAGAGTCCCATCCCTCAGGGTGTGCCGCTGGAGGTGATCTATCTCCAAAGAGAAGATAACAAGTGCCCCAGAACAACGTCCTGGCTTTCTCTCTTTGTGAATCTCTCTGCCCTGCCAGGTCCCCAGAGAACCAGGCCAGTGCTCGGGGAACTGGACACCCCCTAACCTGCAGGCCAGGCTTTCTGCAGTCCACAAAGCGCAGGGTAGAGTCAGAGCTGGCCATGGTGATGCTGGTGTGGGGGGCGGGCATGACAGCTACGGCGGTCAGGGGCACCCGGCTGTCCAACGGCTCCACGATGCGAAGGGTCTTCCCTGGGAAGGAAAGGCACAGCACATCTAGGGTCCCAGTAGCTAAGGGAGGAGGCCTGGCCTTCGAGTCCCTGGAATTACCCTATAGCTGCCTCCCATCCCCCAGGGATCTCAGAAAACGCTAAATGACTTTCCCAACTTCCTGGTTCCCTGGCTAGGCCAGGCTCCCGTCCCCAGACCAACCTCCTCTCTTCATGTGGTGCCCCTGACCCAAGGCCACCTCCCTCTCGGTCCCAACTACTCCATCCCCTTTCCCCTTTAAATAACATTTCTCCCTATAATGATGCCAAAAAAACAATCAAGCAAACATTTGCCAAATATGTACTATGTGTATTATATTCTGAATTAGTTTTTCTGGTTCTCATTTTACAGATGGGAAAACTGATGCTTCCAGCAGCAAGGTGACTTGCTCAAAGTCCCTCAGCAAGTAAGTTGGCAGAGCTGATTCAAACTCAAGTCTAACAGATTCTAAGCCCTAACTGCTTCTCTGTGTGGTCTCACTGGGCCTCCCCAAACTATGTATCATTACACTGCCACCCTCAGCTTCCCAGAGGCCCAGCGGGGCACAGGACAGCAACAACAGAACAGGCCTCACCTGGGCCAGCTCACCTGTGAAGGGGTCCCAGACGTGCACAGCCCCGTCACAGCTCACCACGTGCTGCGGGGCCTCAAGCTGGCCCACGTAGAAGACACTCTTGCGGTGCTGGGCATAGACAAGGCGTGGGGCTGTCTCATTGGTACCATCCCCATAGTTGTACAATGGCCAGAGGCGCACAGTACGGTCCTTGCTGCCACTTAGAAAGAAGTCCTCACTGCTCAGGGGTGCCACACACTTGACAGCCCCCGAGTGGCCTGGGAAGCTCTGCAGGCGGATCTGGTGGAAGTGAAAGTGTGCATCCTGCTGGCTCACGCCAATCTCGTACTGCCAGTACGCCAGCCAGTTCCCGCTCAGCCCGTGGGCACTCCGCGGAAGTTCCCGCTTCAGGGCGTTGTCCTCGCTCCCGCTGCCAAGGCCTCCGCCACCCACCCCCGAGATGGGGCCCAGTGGTCCAGGGTTCTCAAGCTGAGAGTCATTGGGGATCTGGATGCGATTCCCCACCAGGACACTGCCAAATGTCCCTGAGTGGCCGTCATCCTGGGGGCAGCCCCCACCCTGGGAGTCCCACTCAGGGCTGGCGCTGGGCATGGTGGGCTCCATGCTGGCAGGGTTGCGATTGCTTGGGCTGATGCTCTCCAAATACAGCCCTGCCAGCTCCCCAACCAGCTCATGGTTGGGGATGATTTTCCGGATGATGTCACCTGCATGGGAGTGGGAGAGGTCCAAAGATCAGGGAAGATAGCAGGTGGCTGCTACCACCCACCCAAGGGCTTGGGAACCACAGAAGAAGGGAGTAAGTACTGGCTGTGCAACTCTGGGCAACAAATTCTTCATCTCTGAGCCTCAGTTTCCTCTCCAGTAAAATGTGCATTCCTTTGGTCAGTGTGCACACATGAGTTTCTTCCATGTGTGCCAGGCGCCCTGCTGGGCATCAGAAATAGAATGGTGAACAAGACAGATGGTGCCCTGCCCTCCCTGAGCTTCCATTTCAGTGGAGGGATGATAATACATCTAACCGCAGGGCAGTCACCCTATTCAGGGAGACGACACATGGAAATGCTCAGCACGGTGCCTAGCCCATAGGGGAAGCCACGTAAATGGCAGGCCACTCATTTCCTCCCTGATGGCTCCTGGAGACCAGGAATACCTTGACCTGACTCCGCTGCCCTCCCCAGGGATGCTACAGGCCAGCTCCTGCACCTCTCTCGCCGGTGCTCAGTCCCTATATATGTGGGTCTGAGGCCAAATCCCTTTGCTCTGCCCCAAAAAACTGTGCTTAAAACCCACTGCTGACTCCAAGGGAAGGACAGAGAATAGGGCCTGTCAAAGGAAGAGACAGCCACAAAGGCTGCACAAGGCAACGTGACGGAGCAGTACCCAACAGGCAGGAGAAGGGCACGTAGATTGTGTACGCCATCTCCAAGGTGAACACCTTCTGCAGCTCGTCCAGCAGGGTGGGGTCCACTGGCCGCTGCTGCCCATCAGAGAAGGCCACCTCTGGCAGCTGACCCTCACTGCGGCCTGTGGGACCCAGCTTCAGATCCTGTGGGCAGGAGGCCCAGGGTGTCAGCCGAGCCCACACCCCCTGCCCAGCCCGCCCCAGCCAGGCAGGTCTGCCCACCTGGTGCTGAAGCTCCTGCAGCTGAGAGAAGACTTGAAAGAAGGTGGCCACAGGCTCGCTCAGGTGCTGCTGGACCATTTCCTGTCCGATGCGCAGGCAGATGAGGGCAATGAGGCTGATGGTCTTCACACACAGGACAGTCCGGGCCTGGGCCCCACTTGGGAACCTGGGAACAAGAGCTGATGAGCCCCGGCCTTCCGCTCTGTGGGACTCGACCAGGATCTACTGAAAGGTTTAAACGAAAGGAGCTCAAAGGCCAACTGATCCAAACCAGATGAGGAAACTAAGGCACAGAAAAAAGGTGTGGCTTGCTCAGGGTCACACAGCCAAGATGAGAACCATCCCCGTGTTACCTCCTCTCCCCTAAACTCCCCAGTCCCTCCTGGGTGCCCCCCTCAGCTCAGCCGCTCCCCCTCCAGTGGGGTCAGGGGTAGGGGCCTACCCTGTGACGAGGGAAGTGAGGAAGCCAAGCACAGGCAGCAAGACCTCGTGGCTGATCCGGGGCAGGATGTCCATGAGCGTGGTGTCTGAGAGGTACACAATGATCTTCTGCGTCAGCGTCACCGCAGCCAGCAGCCCTGCCTCCTTACGGCTGTTCAGTCGGCTGGGGCCTGAGGTGCTACCTGGGGCCACCTAGGGCCACAAGACAGATGAGGGCCAGGCTGCCCATGGGCCCCCTGGTGCCCCAGAGACTCTGGGCCAGCCCTTAGGTCCTCAGCCTCCACACCCCCGGGCCTGCCGGATCGGTGACTGACCAGGTAGCTGATGTAGGGCAGGTATTGGTAGGTAAGGACGGGCTCCCCGTACAGGTGGGCGATGTGGAGGAGGCAGCTGAGCACTGGGCCCGACACAATATCACCCAGCACCGGCCTCTTCTGGTAGATGTTGCTGGCGCTCAACGGGGGACTCTCGCCGCTGCTCACTGTGAACTGCTGCCGGGTGGGCCCTGCCAAGGACAGGCCAGCTGCCTTGAGTAGCAAGCAAGGGCAAGAGGGAGGCCAGCCCCTCCGCACTGTGGAAACCACTCTAGCTCGCTCTAGTTCGGAGTCCACCCCATGCCCTACCCAAGGAAGGAAAGAGCTTACAGACGGGGACCCAGGACCTGACCAGGAGGTGGTTTGAAGTGGGGGTGGGAAGGATCCCCTAGAGAGGGCTGGAGAGGGTGGGAGGGCCCGGGAGGAAGCCCTGTCTCCAGCACTGAGCACGGGCCTTACCAACATAACAAGATGTCAGCAGGCGGAGCAGGTTCCGGGCCACGTGGCGAGAGGCCACCGTGGGGCCGAGCTTGGCGGACAGCCAGCGGACCATCTTGCAGGCTGTATCTGGAGGGCGGGAGCAAGCCCTGAGCTCATCGGATAACAGGGTTCCGCACCCCTCCCTCCCCACCTCACCCACTTTGGCTGCAGCTCTGCCAAGGAGCCAGGCCTAACCCTGGCCGCCCCACACCACCACCTCCACGCAGCAGTGGCCGGGCTGCCCAGGCCCTGGCCTGCGGACTCTGGCTGTTCCCGGCACCTCTCCTCAGGCACAACTTGCAGGAAGGTGACCCTCTCAGTGAGGCTTCCCAAGCTCCTTAGTGAGGCCTCGCCAGGCCCTGGCTACCCCTCTGTCCTCTCTTCCCTCTGTGCTCTCAGTGAAACTGTGCTGGCCTCTCACTGCTTCTCTTTTTTAATGGACCGTGACAGTCTCAGAGCCTTGTGCACTGTTCCCTCAGCCTGGAATGCTCTTCCCACTTCAGACCCTATCGTTTCTGCCTGCCTGCTTCCTATACTGCTACTTGAACCTCAGCCGCCCCTACTTTCAAGAAAGCCTTCCCGATCCCTGAAAACCAGATCTAAAAGCACATTTTCCGTTCCCTACTAGCAACCCAGCACGTTCTCTACAGCGTGTTACACACGTGTAAGGCTGTCTACACGGCGGCGTCTCCTCTGCTAGATGGGACTCCTCGAAGGCAGCCCTACATCTGTGTTGCACGTGGATCTGGCTCGATCCACTGCATGATGCAGAGCGGGTACTCGGCAAATGCTGAGGGAGACAGGAGTGCCTGACCAACACCTCCCAGACCTGAGGACTCACCAAGCAGGATCTTCTGCTCTTTGCCTTCGGACTGCTCAGGCAGCGGCTCCTCCTCTTCCTCCCCGTCTCCCCCACTGCCACCAGCCACAACTGTCTCCATGGACAGCACCGTGTCAGACAGAGTCAGCTCAGAAGCCACGGTGACCTCGTCCTGCTCCCCCTCCTCCTCCTCCAATACCACGCAGCCTTCCTCCTCCTCCTCTTCTTCCTCTGAGCCCTCGCTTTGCTTCAAGTCCTGGCTGCTGTCACCTGACCTGAGGCTGCTCTTGTCTACAGGGGCACCCCCGTCGTCTGCAGCTCGCTCCTCGCACAGGGAGGGTTCGCTGGCACTGCTCTTGTCACTCAGCCGGCCCAGGCTCACAGCCTCAGGCTCCTGGGGCTGTGGGGACTCAGCCACATAGAGCCCGGCTTGGAAGTCCTCTGTCTCGGGGAGGTCGGCCTGGTCATGGAAGCTGACGCCGGACGTGTAGTCTGGGAGCTCCAGGCCCGAGGAGGCTGCAGGCTCCCCATCCATCGGAATCTCCTCCCCAAAGGCACAGGAGCCAGGCCCAGTCCCTGGGAGCCCACTTTCCTCATCCTCGGTGGCCCCTACCAGACCCTTGCTTTCCTCCAGGGAGGCCTCCACACCAGCCAGCACCTGCAGGACGTGGGGCAGCAGGTGGACGAGAAAGGCCTGCAGGCCCAGCCGCACTATCAGCTGGGCCACAAAGCAGTCAGTGTACAGGTAGAAGCGGCCATGGAGCCGGCAGGGGCTCTCGTAGGCACCAATGAGGGGTTTCAGGAGATACTTATTGGCATTTCTGGGGCCCAGTGCCTTGGCAACAGGTTCAAATAGGTACCACGCTGTGTACACAGCTGTGTGTTCCTCAGACATGAGTGATAGCACGAAGGGCAGCAGGATCTCCAGGCCCTCCGGGGTGATGTCATTCAGCACTGTGCCCAGCTGCTGCCACAGAGCAAACACCAGCTCCCGTCCCTGGGCCTCATCTTCCACGCGCCTCGCCTGGTACAGGAGGATGAACTTGTGCAGCGCCGGGAAGTATGAAGGGAAGGGAACCATGGAGCTGAAGGGGCTGAGGAGCTGGCCTGGGCTGGGTGGGGGCAATCCCTGGGAAACTGGCCTGTACTCAAACATGGGGTCCAGCTTGCCCCTCTCTGCTACCACGGGGCCTTCAGATCCACTCAGCTGCAGGAGTGTGTCCAGCACAGGCTGCAAAGACACAGGGACCTCCTTGGGGTGGCGTGTACAGAGCCCTCGAACAGCCTCGAATCGTACCCTTAAAGGTGCATTGGGCTGCAGTGTCCGGACCCTTGTGGCAAACACCATCTCAGCCAACAGGACACCCAGTGCCTGCATGTCCCGATGGAAGAGGTCCTGTAGCTGCACCACTGGCTGGACCTGGGGCTGCTCAGGCACTTCTACCTGGCCCCCTAGGCCTTTGGCCAGGAAGTTGCCCATTTTCTCCAGCTCCTCCAGAGCCTGCACGGGATTGAAGCCCTCAGGAAGAAGGATCTTCCCCTCCTCCCCCTCCCCAGGCTCGGCCCCACCGGCTTTATTCCTGCGTCCTGCTCGGGAGGCTGAGGCCACTGAGAAAGGCAGGAGGCCAGGGGAGGCTTGACTAGAGAAGGAGCTGAGCTGGTCCCCTGCTTTCCCAGCAAGGGAGATGGAATCCAGAGCTTCTGTGGCCTGCTCCAAGTCATCTTCCCCTGCCACAGGCCTGTCTCTGGTCCAGCTGGCCTCACAGGGCATGGCCTCTAAAACCAGCTGACCCACACCATTTGGAAGCTGTCCTGGGAAGTCTTCTCGGCCTGTGGTCTCCTGGATGGTCTGGATCAATAGCCTGGGGATAAGCGGAGGCTCAGGGGCAAGGGCAGGGGCCCCAGCCAGGCGCCGGGGGTGCGGCTGATCAAAGAGCTGCACCACACCGTAGCTGGCCAGGTGAGTGTGGGCGTCCACCAGGTGCAGACACACATTTTTCTCCTTTACAGCCTCCTTGCCCTGGAGTTTGTAGCCAAAGGTGAGGTCAATCCAGTGATGCAGGTCCTGGGACACCTCGCGGCTCTCCAGCAGTGCTCGGTGGGCAGCCACGAACTCTTCGCTGGAACCGCACCAGGCTGGCACATCCAGGTCAGGCATGTCAGGGTGGATGGAGCAGAAGATGGAGGGATCCGTGTAGAACTCAGGGATACACTCATCAGGGGTCCAGTTCTGCATACGCTCCATGCTAGCCGGATACTCATGGGGCTCCCATTGCGCACGGACATGTCCACAGAGCACTGACCGGGGAGTGCGCCGAGCTTTGTACACGTAGTATGTGATGTCTGAGAGCACGTCTGAGATGTGGTGAGGAACGTGAGGTGGCTCCCCGCCACCCGCACCACCTGCTACAAAAGCCTGCCTCGTCATCTCATATGTGAAGTCCAGTTGCTTATCCCCCTTGTTGAGGCGGAACTTAGACTTGCGCAGGTCTCGGAAGCGCCCGTGGGGCGTGGTGAAGTCCACCACCCAGGGCAGCACCGGGTGGTAGTTGGGATCCCCCTGCCGCCGACCTGCCAACCGATTCAGCTGCATGAGGTAGGAGAAGTTGCTGATGCGGCCGTGGATCCAATCTAACACGAGGCCCCTAAGTTCTTCCTGGCAGGTGGGAAGCCCAGCTCCCCCGCCACCCTCCTCGCTAGATTTCATGCCAGTTCCATCCCCTACTACAGAGGCCTCCTCATTCTCATCCTCTTTGGGCCTCTCATAAGCACTCAGGTCCAGTCGGAGCTCACTGCAAAGTTTCTCATCTACAGCGATGTGGTGCAAAGATAGGGCCCCACAGGCCAGCCCCTGGCGGTGACAGGCATCCATGGCCCTCAGCACACGAAAGAGAATGAAAAGCACCTTGGCTTGGCTGTTGGTCAGCTTGGCAGGGCTGAAGGTGACCACATCATGCAGGGAGAACTGCACATAAGGGTGTACCACATATAACATCTCTGGTGACTCCAGCAGGGCCTCAGCTCGCAAAAGACTGGGGCAGGCAGGGCTGCCCCGAGGGGGACAGGGGCCATCTCTGGTGTATGGCGGACAATGAGTAGCGTCACCCACTGGCAGGAAGGAGCAACCATAGACCCTCTGCAGAGCCTGTCTTACAGAGTCCAGGGCAGGGGCAGCTGAGAGGGCAGGGCTATGACTGTAGGGCTGCCCATAAGTGTGGTATGCGTGGCGCCACAGGTTGCGATAGTTCTGGGCAGCCACCTCCTGCATGAAGCGAGTGAGGGTCTCGGGGCTGCAGGATCCTTCCTCCAAAGGCAGGCGCCCGCCCAGCGGATAGGACAGTCTCTGTTTCCTCAGCCCGTGCACCTCCACTCGAGTCCAGCCCGGGGGCAGCCTCTGCACCGAGCGTTGCAGGAGAGTCCTGACTTCCGCTTCGCCCAGGCTCTCTGCCCGGGGGCAGGGTCCCAGGGGCAGCCGGCGCTCGCGGAGACTGGCCAGCCAGCGCGAGGGCACTAGGGCCACCACGTGGGTGCCCCCCGGGGCAGGCGCCAGCTGCCGGGAATCGATGTTCAGGTCCCTCTCCACGCTCCGGAGCAGCTCCTCCATGTCTGGGCTTGGGGGCGGGTACCAGCCATCGGCCCGGGTGGTAAGAGGGACTTCCCGCCCCCTGCTCCCCTGGGCCATCTCCTCCTGGCCGCCTGGGGGCAGCGCGGGGCTGAGCCCGGCCACGGCCCTCCTCGCGATGGCTTCCGGGTGCCAGACCGGGAGGGTTGGGATGGGCGCGGGGCAGGGACTCGGGTGGAGGTGGCAGGGGAGAGCCGGCGACAGAAGAGGGGCGGGCGGGGGCGCTCTTACCCCTCCGCAGGGTCCTGCGCTCGCTCGGAGCGCGGCAGGGCAGGGGCTGCAGGGCGCCAGCGCCGGGCTCCACCGTGACGGGTCAGCTGACGCGGGTCACGTGATCGCCCCGGCACGGAAACAACCGCACGTGGCTCGAAAGGGCCGGGCGGGACCCCGCTTCCTGCCCGCGCCACCGCCCACCGGCCTCTGCGCCCTTTCTCCTACAGCTCTGCTCTGGCCTGCTCCGGGCTTCGCTTCCCCCAGGGGCTGGAAGAGGACCCTGCTGACTTCCCCTCCCCTCCCGGCGCCCTGCACCCGCCAGAACTCGGATCTAGGGAGGCTTTTCCGGAGATGTCAACCTTTAAGGAAAGTGTTAACTGCACAACCAGTGGCTGAGCTGGGACTTTCGACATCGAGTCCCCTCAGCGCCTCCACGCCACCTTCCAAATGAAGGAGCTTTTTAATTTTCTGAAGCACGTCATCAGTAACATTCCATTTAGCCCTCACAACACTCTTGTGAGGTGGGGAAGACAGTTATTATTGTTTATATCTTACAGGTGATCACCAAGAGCTGCCAAAGAGGCTTGCATGAGTGGCAGAATGGAAACTTGAAACTGAAGCTGGTGCCCAGATTTCTTTCTGCCCTGGAGCCCTCCCTTCTGAAAGCCCTGTCACGGATTTTTTTTTTTTTTAACTGAACCATTTGAGCTAGAGAAGTGGCCCAGGCCCAGAGGCCTGGAGTTCTTGGGAGGAAATGTTCCTCAAGACTTCCTGTTGAAGCACTGCCTCTGCGGTGCCACAGAGCCCGCCAACTGTGGTCAGAGCCTTGCAGATGCCACTATGGCTGGGGGGAGGGTTGAGCACAGGAGAGGGAACTGAAGCCAGAGAACTGCCACCAAAATTACATGACTCCTTCAAGGGGTCTTAGTTCTGACTGATTTGCAGGACAGAGTGCTGCAGTGAAACCACTGGCTCTTTGTTGTTGTTGTTTTGTCACACTCGTAGGAGAGTCTGCTTCTTGTAGGAGTTTGGTGTAGAGGTGTGAGGGTCCCATAAAAGCACTTAAGAGAAACTAAAGGTTTGATAAGAGAGAAATCAGAAATGGCTCAGCCATGATCTGGTTCCATCTATCTCCTCTTTCTCAAAGGGCAGCTGGAAGCTCTGATGTGCATGGTCATATGACCTTGGGCAGTAATAACTTACAGCCACCATTTATGGAGCTCTTACCAGGAGCCAGTCACCTGCTACGTACTTTGCATACCTTGTTTTATGTATTCCTCACCGTGACCCTTTTAAGAAGATATTTTTAATACCTATTTTAGGATGAGAAAGCTGATTGACTACCTTAGGTAACTTGCTCAAGGTCATGTAAGGAGCTAAGAAGCATTAGAGCCAGGATTCAAACCCAGGCCTAGGTTATTCTAAAACCAGTGTTCTCTGTACTTCTTGGCTGTGGCTGTGCACTATTGTTTTTTCACCTGGGAAATGAGGTGCTCTGTGACAATTCCTCATTCCCAACTTTGATCTAAGAACCTGAAACCAGAGGGTGTGTTTTGATGGTCAGGAGGTAGTGCCCACTTCATAGTACCAATAGAACTCGGTCCACCTGGTCATGGCTCTGGTCTCAGTTTACCTAGACCGAGCAGGCACTACTTTTTCTTTCTGCAAGTCTGTGTGTACCCTGCCCTCTAGTGGTGTTGGCTTTACACTGCAGCAGTGACCTTGAGTGTACCTAAACCTACCTCTGGCAATTCTTTCCCCTCCTTAGAATAGAGATGTCCTTGCAATGCTGGGCATTAGTGTACTCACATTTCTGGGGCATCAACACCTTCCTTGATCTGAGCCCTAGCACAATGGTTTTAAACTTTAGAGGATATTTCAGATTCAGTAGACTGGAGTGAAACCCAGGAATCTGAATTTTTAACAGGCACCCCCAGGTAATTTAGATGCAGCAAACTTTCAGGCCACATCTTGAGAAATAATGCTGTATAACAGCTCTACTCCCAAATTTCCCTTTCCCTACCTCCACAAGAGCTCCCCCTGAATTCCAACTCAAGCACCCTTGGGCTTTGGGGCCCAAATTAGACACTCCCTTTGACCAACTTCAATTTTGGGTTTCTGGGAGGTCATGTCTTATATAGTCAGAGAGGAGGCTGCAACTACCCCAGCAGTCAGCCCATGTTGAGTGAGGTCAGCTCTTGCTGATCTGGCAGGGAGAAAAAAAGTGGAGGGAGCTAGTATTTAGTGCACCAACTGTGGGCCAGTGTGCCAGGTACTGTGCTGTTTTCAAACATAATTATTTATGGTTTTTTATTTCAAAATATTAAGGAGATACAAATATTTTTGGCACACGGATAGCTTTTATAATGCTTTACTCAGGGCTGTGTTCCCATCAAAGATAACTTTCTAAATCTCTACAACAAACCGTGGATTTATTATTCACCCTATTTTGTAGATGAGGAAAGTATCTTTAACAAGCTCACAGCTAGTAAAAGCTGGAATTTGAACCCAAGTTTGCCTAACTCAGTGGTTCTCAACTGGGGGAGATTTTGGCCCCCAGAGGACATTTGGGAATGTCTGGGGACACTTTTGATTGTTATAACTGGGGTAAGGGGAGCTACTGACATCTAAGGTAGAAGCTAAGGACAGAGATGAACATCCTATTATGCACAGGGCAGCCCTCCCACAACAAGAAATTATCCTGCTTGAAATGTCAATAGTGCTGAGGTTGAGAAATCCTGGACTCAGAGCCTGAGCAAGGGAGGAGGGCAGTTAGTGAGCAGAACAAGATGAAAAAGGGCCACCCCAAGGTCCTTGAGTGGGAAGGGGATGGGATTTCTATGCTCAGGATAATGGAGAATGGGGGCAGCTAGTGAGACTTCTCGTTCTTCCAAGCTTGGCCAGGCCCTGCTCAGTTTCTCCTAGACTTGCCAGGTCAGTCCTGGGACTTCACACTAAGCTTGTCCTGGGGTGACCCTGACTCCCAACTCAGGGTTGGGGCAGAATATTTACCTGGGTCTTCCTGTAGGACTTCCTCTGGCTACTGGGGCCAGTGTGCTCCACCTGCATTGCTTGAGGAGCTCCACACTAGCACCATTGCTGTAGGGGGTGGGCATGTGGGCAGGGTACTGCTGAAAGTACCCTGGAGCAGGTGACATCTGAGAACAATTAGAAGTGGAGTGAATGGGCAAAGCCATTTAAAACTTTGGCTCACGCCTATAATCCTAGCACTCTGGGAGGCCAAGGCAGATGGATCGCTCAAGGTCAGGAGTTCGAAACCAGCCTGAGCAAGACCGAGACCATGTCTCTACTAAAAATAGAAAGAAATTAATTGGCCAGCTAAAAACATATAGAAAAAATTAGCCAGGCACGGTGGCGCATGCCTGTAGTCCCAGCTACTTGGGAGGCTGAGACAGAAGGATCGTTTGAGCCCAGGAGTTTGAGGTGGTTGTGAGCTAGGCTGATGCCATGGCACTCTCTCTACTCACGGCAACAGAGTGAGACTCTGTCTCAAAAAAAACTTTGGCGGATACTTCTGATTCAGTTGTCTGGAGTGAGACCTAGGAATCCCCCTCAGCAGACCCCTGTCTGGGGAGGAATAAGGCAACTTGAGCAGGGAGTAGGGGGCCACTGGCCTGGAAAGAGCGTTCTGACCCCCAGGTTTGCTTTCTATAGCCATTCCTCTCCCCTAGGTTTGGTTCTCAGCTTCAGTGTTCTCTCCCCAGTACCCATTCCTAGAGCACCAACACACCCAGCCAGCCACCACGCTGGGTCTCCCAGTACTGGCCTCCACCCCCCCCCCCAGACAAGGGTGGGTGAGTCTGAGCTGACTGCTGACAGGAAATACCTCTCGTTCCAAGCTCAGAACCTCTGAAGAACTAAGGAGCAGGTGGGGGTGGGGAGACCGTCTTGGAGTGATGGGGAAGAGGAAAGAGCATACAAATATTGTCCCCCATATTTGGGGTTTCATTTCCTTCCCTCACCACCCAGAGAGTGGATAAGGGGATGGAGGAGGGCAGGCTAGGAGGAGGATGTGGTAACAGCTGATTCGTCCCCAGAGGTCACACTTTCCAACAATCAGCTGTTACTGGGGCGGAAGGCAGGAAGTTTCCTTAAAGGCACAATGTTCTGAACACAGGCTCAGAATTCTGGAGCTCCAAGGAACCATAGCAATTACCCGGCGGAGACCGTATTCAACACAGAAGGAACTATCTCACACTCCAGGCTCATTTCTCCGGCTCTGTTACCGTCACCACCAATTTGGAGCTTATGGAAAAAGTGATGGATCCCCGTCTACATGTTTCTCTTTGGTGCTGGTGGAGGGGGCGAGTGATGAGGTGGGCTAGGTCCTACGCTTGCCGCTTTAAAAAAGCAGATCAGCAGCTTTTGCCAAGTCATTGGGTTCATTTCAGTTTTTGCCCATCCCCCGCACCTCTAGACTCTGATTGGCCCCTGGGGAAGGAGCAGCCTCCTCATTGGCCTCCACCTTTGAAATCTCTACCCTAAGTAGGCCCGAGTAAGTGAGGAGCTTTGGGAGGGCCGGACAGAATGGGGGGGGGGGCAGTGAATCAGAGGATGGGATGGCGGATCAGTTGCACTTTGGCACGGCCCGTCCCCTAATTTCTGACCATAAGCATTTCCTCTACCCTAAGGTGAGGACTGTGCCAATGAATCTTAAGTTAGGAAGCTACCTCTTGAGAGAGTCTGGAGCTCTTCTCCGACTGGGACGAGACATCTACAAGAAAAGGCTCATCTGGTTAGGAAGGGCCCCCAAGGAGGCTTGGACTAGATCTCTCCAGAGAAAGCGGGGGCTGGGCGAGGTGAGCAATCCTCCCTTCCCCAGAAGCCCAACAGAAGAATCTCTGCTGCCTTGGGGGCTGATTTCCACCTTCAGTTTTGCCCACTCCTGCTATTCCGCCTGCTCCACCTTAGAGAGCTGTGACTTCCCGCGAAGGGCAGCGAGTCAGTTTGGGGGTTGTCTAAAACATCACTCCCAGCTCCAAAAAGGGCTAGAGCCCTTTAAGGACCTCACCGGGATGGACTCAGAGATCAGTTTAAAAATGCCAACTCACACAGCGCGCTGGATTCTGGGAATGGGGGTATCAGACCGAGAACTACATTAACCAGTGTGCACTGCAAACACACACGCCTTTACTTTCTTCTGCTCTTTAGGACTCTGGTTTGACGTAGCGCTTTTCTAAGCAAGTCCCTTCCTCGGAGGGCTGGCCACACCTTTTCGCCTATTGGTCAGCTCGCGAGTGAGTGGGCGTGGCTTAGCGCACTTTCTCTCGGCAAAGGGGTGGCCTCCTTGCCAATCAGAGCCCAGGCGTCCGGAGAGGCGGGACCAGGGCGAAGTGCTGGCGCCCCCGAGTGGGTGTGGTCACGTTGCCCAGCAGTGGGCGGTGATTGGCCCTGGGCGGTGCGATCGCAGCTTGTGCGTCACGACGCCGCCAGCTGATCGGAGACTGGAGCCGGTGTGTGCTGGGCGCTGGGAAGAGACAGCGCCGCCGGCCGTGGGGAGCTGACGCAGTGATTTGCTCCCTTGCCCTCAGCAACCCCCACACCCAGCACCAGGTGGGTGTGAGCTGGCGACCCGGTCACACGGGGGGAACCGTGGTAACGGGGTGATGGGTGAAAGTAGGGTTCTGGCGGCCACACCCTGCCCTTCCGGGGAGGGGAGAGGGGGCGGCGAGGGCAGGGGCGCTCCCGGGGACAGGGACCTGGACTGGTCGGAGTAGTGTGTCAGGAGCTTTAAGGAAAGAATCCGGGACAGGAGTTGTGGCGGAAGGTCCAGCGGAGTGGCTGGGGGGAAGACTAGGGCCGGGGGGCCGGAGGGCCGGGGGCGGCTAACCTAGGCGCCCTCTGGTCTGAGGGTACGGGAGCCGGCCATTTAGCCTGGGGAAGATCTGTACGGAGCGGGTGGCGGGAGGTGCTTTGCCTCTACTGGCACTCACTGGTTCAGGGCCAGTTAGGCGCCCTGGCAGGGAAGGGGTCGCTGGGCGGGCCGGCCCCTCCTCTCATTCCCTCCTAGGGATGTTATGTAAGGGGGGAGGGGAGAGGAGTAGGGGGCGGCGGTGCGGGGGCCTTATGCAACCCAAAGGTTAGGGTTTCACCGCGGTTGGGCGGGGAAAGCGGGCAAGAGGAGGACCTGGAAACTCTAACCCCCCCTCCTCAGACTAACTGGCCGTCTTGGGCCGAGAGAAGGTCACCTCTGCACCTCCCCCCAGCCTGTCCGGTTGTGAGGCCCCTAGCCCAGGCCTGGCCCTGACCGCCTGGGAAGCCGGCTGGCTGGGTGGGGCTCCTGGGTTAGTCATCACTGGGCTCCCTCTCTCCCCACCTCCCGGCCAACTCTTGGCCCCTCCCTGTGGCCTCCGCTAGGCTGTTGCCCCCACCTCCCTTCGGCCCTAGTTCCAGCCTCCAACTCATTTGGCCTGTCATCCTGGCTGTCAGACTGGACTAGGAGCTGTCAGAGTGCCAAAAGGTTGATGGAGCAGCTGGTCAGAGGGTCAGTGCCCTGGGCCCACCCCGCCCTGCAGCCAAGGGCACCTGCTTGGCACGGACTCTTAGCAGCTGCTGAGTCCTGTGGGCTGAATAGAGCCCTCTCAGACAGAGGGGAGTCAGACAGAGTTGGACTGGTCACCTAGGAAAAGAAAGATAACCACAAAGTTCATGCCTCCCAAGAAGGTTTTGGAATTTGAACCCCACCCACCCTTCAATCTTTCTTACCCTCTGAGTGTAGAAATCCCAAGGCAAGGCTGCCTTGGCCCCTCAATCTGGCATGGGCCATGCCCTTGGACCGAGTGTCAGCACAGACCCGCCCTCCCCAACTCACAGCCCTCAGGCCTGCCACGCCCCCAGCCCCCTCCCTAGGCCATGCTGCAGGGCCCGGCTTTTCCTGCTGATTCATGCGTTGGAACTGTGGGGGCGGGGCTTGGAACTTGGAACAAAGTTCAGACATGGAGGGGCCGGCAGACAGCTTGGAATTCATACCAGATGTACCCGGAATGCGCAAGCGGAATGCCTGGCATCTGAGAGTCCTGGGGAAGCTGCCCAACCACCCTACCCATACCTCCCTCCCCTTCAGCCTCTGGGCTGCTGTCCTCTCTCTCACAGTCCAGGGAGTCTCTGCTGACCTTCTTCCAAACTCTATACCTCCTCCCTTCCTCACTCTTCCCCAATCTAGGCCCCCCAGACTCTCCTTCCAGCTGAACTCCCTGGGAACAAGTCAGTTGGGCTGATCACTGAACTTCCATTTCTGGAATTGAGGTACAACTTCTCACCTAGTACCTGAATGACTGGTGGGGTGTGTCCAGGATCCCTGCTCTGTCTGATTGCTGAGGGGGCTGGGGCCCCTGGTGTGGGTTGCTACGGCATGGGGGACAAGAGCAGGACTGGGTTTCTATAGCCTCCAGTTCTGAAAAGAGGAGCAAGGGAAGTGTGTTTAGAGCTGCCTCTTGCTTCTCACTGAAATTAACAACTCCTGCAGGCCCAGGTCTGAGGCAAGAACTGTTCACTAAAAGGCTGAAGGTCTACTGGGGCGAGACTTTGATGGCCACTGGGACAGTGTCCCTGTGACATAGTCCTGCTCAGATCTTTTCCATTTTTCTTCCCCTTCCCTTTAGGAGCCTGATCCTCTCACATCCTCACCTGGCTGAGCCGCAGTAGTTCTTCAGTGGCAAGCTTTATGTCCTGACCCAGCTAAAGCTGCCAGTTGAAGAACTGTTGCCCTCTGCCCCTGACTTCGAGGAGGAGGAGGAAGAGGAAGAGGAGTAGCTGCTCTCCCCATCATCTGGAAGGTGACAGAAATGGGGCTGGGAAGGTGTAAACAGCAGGGGTGATGATACCTTTTGGGAAAGGGAACCTTGCTCAGTTGGAGAGCCTTCACCCAGATTGGCTCAGCAAGAGAGCAGTTTTAGATTAGAGACACTGGTTGAACTGGGGAATGGAAGGCTTGAACTACCCAAGGTTACTTGGTCTTCATGCGACAACGGGAAGAAGTGGAGAGAAGAAAACTATCTACCTCTTTACCCAGATTTCCTTCTTGATCCTCCTTCCTTATCTCCCATTCTTCCCTACTGGCCTTTCCAGGTCAGGTCCAAAAGTAAGTTTACTCTTCAGGGAAAAGGCGATACTGAAACTCTGATCTGAGCAATCATCCCTCTGCTCTTACCTTTCCCTGTATTTCCTTAGACTGGCCCAGACTTTGGATTCAGGGGTACTAACCTATATCTGAGATCCTTAGACCTCCTGTCTCAATTTCTCCACCTGTGAGATAGGGAACCACACAGATGAGTGTGCATGAGGAAATCAGAAGCCCACCTGTGCAGACTCAGAGCCTAGGCTCTTCTCCACCTGGGGATGGGAACAAAACACCTTTCATATGAGCTGTTGTCCCTTCCCCATCACTGACACCGTAACTCCAGGAGCTGGGGAGGGTAGGGAGTTGGAGGGAGGAGCTGGGGTTAGACCAATGTAAGGGACTAGGAGGAGCTCAGTCTCTATACTGGCTTCCCACTATGCAAGGGTTTCCCTTGCCATCCAAAGCAGGATGGCAGCAGCCCTTGATAGCATTCAAGGGTTTTATTTATTTATTTATTTATTTATTTATTTATTTTTGAGACGGGGTCTCACTTTGTCACCCAGGCTAGAGTACAGTGGCATCATCATACCTCACTGTAACCTTGAACACCTGGGCTCAAACGATCCTCCTGGCTCCTGCCTCCGCCTCCCTAGTACCTGGGATTATAGGCATGCATTACCATGCCTGGCTAATTTTTCTATTATTTGTAGAGACAGGGTCTTGCTCTTGCTCAGGCTGGTCTTGAACTCCTGACCTCAAGCAATCCTCCCACCTTGGCCTCCCAAAGTGCTACGATTATAGACATGAGCCACTGTCCAGCCCCCTGATAATATTATCCTGCTGCTGCTTGCTGCTCTTTCTTCCCTCACTTTGCTTTCCAGGATTGTGTGTAAGACTCAGCTCAGGCCTGTGTAGGCAGGAAATTCTCCCCTCCAGGAACCCTGGGAAATGGGGTATGGGATGTGATCCCCTTTTGGGCACCAGGCAGTGCAAATCTGCCACCTCCAGCTCCTGATCCATTCTTACTCTTGCACTCAGGCTTGGATGTTGTTCAGCCTTGGCCCAGTCTCCCTGCCTGAAGGTGGCCAAGTTCAGGGTCTACAGGAAGCTATTTATTCTATGTGGTGGGAGGAGATGTGCAGGGAGGTCTATCTTATTGTCCATTTATGAGAAACTGAAAGATGTAGATGAGAGTGGACCCCTGAGCCCCACCGCTCTGTAGCCTAAACTGAGGGGCAAGATATGTGTAGGACAGCAGTAAAGGGGGATGGGTAGACTGAGTCAACTCATAGGCTGCAAAGATGGCTGCGTCCCTGGACAATTGCCTCCGTCGTTTCTTCCCCTCTTTGCTTCACTGGCCAGTGTCCCCCTCCAGCCCTGGGAATGTGGCTCTGCCATCTTCACCCGTCATGGAGCAGAGGTGAGGAAGGGCAGCCTCGGAACACAGAGACCAGTGAAGGACCAAGCCTGGACAGCACAGGGCCCTATCTGGACATCCAGCAGAGGGGCCCATGAAGGCCAGGAGCACGCCAAGAGGAGGAAGAAGAGCCAGCCTCTGTCCACAACAAGCTTCCAGCCATCTCCTACTTCACTCACCATTTCTCTCCAGTCTTTCTGCCTCCCTCAGAGATGTGGAACCATAGGAAAGTGTCCTGTGGCTTCACCCTCCTACTTCCACCTTTTCCCCAGCCTGTAGTATTTATATTAGCAGCTTCAAGGAGCAAGAGCCAGGTGTGAAAGGACATACACAGGAATTCATAACAGAAATTCAAATGGATAAAACCATGAAAGAAATGCATGCTTTATTAGTAATTAAAGAAAAGCAAATATATAATAGCTGAAAGCATTTTTCCTTTAGCAAACTATAACAAAAAAATAAGGCTCAACATTGGCAAAAGAGTACTGAAATAACACTCTCATATATTGCATGTGGCAGTATAAATTGGTACAGCCTTTTGGATGCCAATTCAGTAATATGTATCTTACACCCTAAAAGCTTCCATGTCCTTTGACCTAGTAATTTTATGTCTGGGAATTTATCCTAAGAAAATAATTAAGGATTTAGTTATAAGATGTTCATCCCAGCATTCCAATAGAGAAAAATGAGAAGCAACTATTTGATTGGGAATTCATTCCTTTTCTGCTATAATGAAAATTTGTAATAGGGGATTGCTTAAGTAAATTATTGTGTATCTATCCAGATGGTGGAGTACTGCACAGCCATTAAAAGTCATGTAGAAGAACATTTGACTAGAAAGAAAAATGCTCTTTGAATATTAGAAAGGTTATAAAAAGTGTATATTATGTGACCTCAATTTTATTTTTAAAAATATGAGTATATACTTGTATGCATAGAACAGATAAAAAAGATTGAAGACATACTCAAAAATGTTAATAGTGGTTATCTTTGGATGGTGTGATTTTCCTCTGGTTTTTCTGTACTTTTCAAATTTTCTACATTAATTGTGTATTGTTTTCATATAATAAAAATTTAAATGATCAGTGTAATTTTCTTAAACCTTTGAAGAAGTGGGTGTAGAAAAACGAAGGGAAGCCCCCAGCCCCTTAGTGAGAATGTGGTTGGGGCATCTGTTGGTTTATGAACGTCATTCCTTAGGAGTAGCTGGAATCTGCTCTCTTAGTGCACAGGAAACAGCTCTCTGAATTGCTGGCTGGGAGCCAGCTAAAAGAGGTGTGGAATGGAGTAAGATGAAAGGAAAACAGTAAAAACCTTTCACTCTCTTCAGGGGATGAGGGGTTGGGGGAGGATTTTCCTCTCCAGGCTGAAGGGTTCTAGAATCCTCACAGTCCTACTTAAAGCACATTGAGTCTTTGTTTTTCTCTTCTGATGTGCCCCAACATTGAAGAGACCCTGTGTTACCTTATCTTGCCCTCATAGAAGAGAGATTTTCCTACTCACCTAATAGGTCCCAAGCTCTGGGGGAGGGGATGATTTTCACGACTCTAGTGGTGAGTGATTCCCTTTTGCCTCCCCTTCCTAACAAGTAGGGCCAAAAAAAGGTTGGGTGTGGGGGCTCTCCGTGGGTCCCTTCTCCAAAAGGGGTGCTGCCGTTCCATTTGAGAGGTACTGTGTAAGGAGTCGGGACTCCTGGAGTTAAAGGTTTGCTGCCATGTGTTGAAGGCCTGGAAACCCCGGGAGGCAGAAGAGGTGCCTCCAAGAAAGCGAGGCGCCTCCTCCCCCACAAGTGACACTGGGAGGGAGGGGCAGGGCGGTGGCTAGGTTTAGGCAGGTGGGAGTGGGTTGCGCTTGCCTCTACCTTCAGGGCTGTGAGGGTGGGTGGGAGGGACGAGCATTAGGTGAGAGGTGCGAGAGTAGGGAAGAGGAGGTGAAAGTTGGTGGGGTGGGGCCCTGGGGGTGTCAGGGTAGATTAGACTAGCGACCCATTTGTGGAACTGCGAGGGGTTCAGGCCACACGGATTGGGGGTAAGACCACTGTTAATAGCATCCCGGAAGTTCCCCCGAGCGCCACTGCACAGCTTGGTGCCCGGGAGGCCCCAGACAGCTCTCCCCGGCAGGGGCCGGACGCTACCGGTTGCCGTGGCTCCAGGGGCGGTGGCCCCATGGCTGCTCCAATCGCCGCCCAGCCGCGGAATGGGGCGTGGACAAGCCGGGGAAAAGTTCCCGCAGATTCCGAAGGCGGGGCAGGTGCAGGAACCTAGGCACCCAGCCCTGCCGGGAAGCCAGTTCACAGTCCCCGCGGGGACATCTGATGCGTCCCAGCCGGGAGCGCAGGGGCCACAGGGACCAATCCGGACTTAGCCGGCCCGCCAGGCCCTGGCGCCCTTGGGGCTCCTGACGACTGGCGCCTCCTTCGCTGCGTCCCTGGGGCTGCACTGGGGGCTGCAGCGGCTGCCCACGCCGGGATCTGCTGCTCACGGCCGTTGCAAGTGGCGGAACATGTGTGTCTCCCTGGCGCACAGCCTGCTCGCGGGGCCGGGGCGCTGCTCGGGCGCGGGGCTCGGGAGTTCCAGGGGCGCGGGGCGGGGGTGGAAGGAAGGCGGAGGTTAGAGGACGGGCAGCATTTTCAGAACCGATGCCAAACCTTCGGAGTCTGAGACTGGGCTGGAGGCGTGCACGGCAGGGGAATGGATGGGGTATTCAAGAGGCTGTGCATGGCTCCCCCCCCCCGCGTCTCCCCCAGGCTGTCGCTGTACCCTCAAATGACCACCGACCCGATTCATGGCCACCCGCCCTGGGCCCCGGTGCTGGTGGCTGTGTCTCTGGGTGAGTCTGCAGGGAAGGCTGGCCCAGTGGGGGTGCTTGGAGGAAAAAACTCAAACCTTGTTTTTCTCTACTCTTACAACACAACAATCATCAAGATTTTTGTGGCCAAATGTGGGGGCGTTTTCCTCCACACACCAAGCAGCAGATACCAGCTGAGTGTCCTTTAATTCAATTCTGACACTAACTGCCTAAAGATAGTCTCAAATCCCACAAGGTGAAGGCTCAGTCTCCAAAACTGCCCCCTTACTTCAGATACCAGTCACAAGTCTGGGCCTCTGAACTTCTGACCAACTGGCTTGAAGTTGAGGTTCACACGACTTCCTCTTTAGGTTCGATTAATTTGCTGGAGTGGTTCACAGAACTCAGGGAAACACTTAGTTACCTGAACCTTCTCGTGCTTAGCTCTCCGGAAGCTCCCCCAACCCAGTCCTCTTCGATTTCTGTGGGGACTTCATTACGTAGGCATGATTGACAACCATGTGGAAATGGGATTGGACAAAAAGTGCATGATCTAAACCCAGCAAGGCCTGACTGTTCAGATTCTTTCTGGCTTCTGTGCAGCATTCTGTATTCCATGCCATCCAGCAGGACCTTCTCTGGAATGAGGGTTTTAGGGACCCACAATCAGATTAGAATCCTGCCTTGGAGAGGTGAAAGGAAGGCAGGAAAAGGTCAGAGAGAGATTCTGTTTACTGTAATAAGGTCTGTGAAAGTTATGAGTCAGTAACCATGGATGAAAAAATATATATACCTATCAATCAATATCACAGGGAACAAACTCCAATGGTAATTCCAGGTCCCCATCCCACTCCCCTACAGGGGTTAAATGTCTCCAGAGGCTTTACGGGAAACCGAAGATCTGGGAAAATGGAGGCTGGAATCCTCTCTAGGCCATGCACCTGTTCTGGAGAAGCCTAACTCCCCCAATCCCCATCCCCACAGGTTATTTCCTGGCAGATTGAGCTAACGTGCTGTGGACCCAGACCTTGGGACAGGCCTGGGAACTTCTCTGTCACCATTTGGTGGTGAGACTCTGGGGAGACCCCAGACGGGAAGGGAGGCCTGGCTTCTCAGTGTCTCTTCAGCTTTCTGTCTTTCCCAGAGTCTCGTGCCCCAGCTGTCACTTCATCCTCCCAGTTTTAGGCTGAGTGGGGGGGGGGATGACAGGGGGTTGACTATTGACCACAGCTGGGAGTCTGAGCACTGCCTAAGGAAATTGGGTCCCTCACAAGTGTCTGGCTAGTCACAGAAATGTTGACCATGGAATGTTTCTGAGAAGAAGCCTTGGTATATAGGGTTTGGGGATGAGGCATGAAAGCCCAGGAACGGCATTTGGGGTACTGTGCAGATGCTGCACTCCCAGGGTGAGGCAGCCCCTTGGCCAAGGCTGCTTCCATCCTATCGAAGGACTGTTTCAGGGCCACTCAGGCCCCCAAGATAAGGGTAAGCATAAAGGTCAGGTGTAGGCCTGGCATGGTGGCTCATGCCTATAAACCCAGCACTTTCGCAATCCAAGGCTGGAGGATCATTTGAGGGTAGGAGTTCGAGACCAGCCTGAGCGAAACAATGAGACCCCATCTCTACAAAATATAGAAAAATTAGCCGGGCATGGTGGTACATGCCTGTAGGCCCTGCTGCTCCGCAGGCTGAGACAAGGGGATCACTTGAGCCCAGGAGTTTGAGGTTGCAGTGAGCTATGATGATACCACTGCACCCTAGCCTGGGCAATAGAGTAAGACCCTGTCTCAATAAAAAAAAAAAAAGGTCAGGTATTTGAGGAGTCCCACAGAATGCCTGGGAGCCCCTTTCTTAGGGACTGTATGATTAGGACATGATGGGTGGCAGGTCATGGAACTCCTCTGACCTCTGACCCTGGCTCTCAGGTAGCAAGCTGCCTCAGCAGCACTGTTCCATCTGACCACTACATGGGCATCTCCATGTTGTCTCTGGGCCTGGGGCTGAACTCTGCCTGCTTGCACCTGTGGAAGCTGCTGCTGCTTTCTTACCAGGCCCCATCCTTGGCCCTCGGTGTGACCAGGTGGGCTCCCCTGGCCACCCTGGCTCTCTTCCGCTTGGTCCCACTGAGACCAGGAATGAGTCTGTGGCTACTCCAGCAGCACAAGCAGGTGCCTCTTGCTCTGGTTGTCCTTGGTGGAATTGGATTGGTCACTGTGGGTGTCATGAGCATCACACTAGGTGTGCACATTCTCGTCATTGATGTCCTGCAGTCTTGGCCCCACCAGCCCATCCCTGGACACAAGGAAACCAAGGGCACTAGGACATGTTGGGATGATAAGCCTGTTACCATGGATGATTCCACTCTCACTTTTAGCCTGAAAGACGAAAGAGAAGCCACAGGCTCCACTTCTGTCAGCCTTGGGGGAGGTGAGGGCAGGACAGGGAGATGGTAGGTCTTCAATGCACAGTCCCCCACTGGGGTAGGGCTGGACTGGATCATCAGTCTCTCAGTTCCTCCTTCAGCTAACTCATATCCCTCCCCACTCCTAGGCTCTAAGAAGCAATGATGTTGGTGGATGTGGGAACCTGGGTTACTGTTCGCTGAAATCTGTCATCAGATAACCATTCTTTCCTACAAACAAACTTAAGAGGTACAGCCAGAGGTATCAATAAAGGGTGGCAGGAGGCATGAAGCTGGAGGAAACTGCCAGTGGAAACAGACACTCTGCTTTAGCACAGAGACAGATGAGGGGAGGGAAGGTCTTACTAGAATCAGAGAGAGCTGGAATGGAGGGGGCAGGTCAGAGGGAGGAGAGACCTCACCTATGACCAAATGCTGGCTGTGGGAGGAGGGCACAAGAGAAGCTATCTATAGCCAGTGGAGATGGACTTGATAGTTGCCAAGAGACAGAATCCAGGCCACAGCAATTGCTGCTGATATTTCTGGTTCTCAAAACCATGCTGATTGGGCACAGTGGCTCACGCCTATAATCCCAGCATTTTAGGAGGCTGAGACAGGAGGATCACCTGAGCCAGGAGCTTGAGCTCAGTCTGTGACACATAACAAGACACCGTTTCTATGAAAAATTTTAAAGAATTAACTGGGCATGATGGCACACACCTATAGTACTAGCTACTCTGGAGGCTGAGGTGGGAGGATTGATTGAGCCCAGGACTTTAAAGCTGCAATGAGCTATGATCAGGCTACTGCACTCCTGCCTGGGTGACATAGTGAGACCCTGTCCCTTTAAAAAAAAAACAAAAAAGCCATACTATTATTTTTGTACTTAAACCTAGTCCTACTTTGTCCAACCTTTTAAGTGTTTTTAGTGTCTTCTGATCTTTTTCAAAGAAAACACAGATTCTTAAAGAATGAGCATAGGGCTAGGTTTGTCTTCTTAGAGCAGTGCTAAAGTCCAGCATCATAAAGGGAATCAAACACCCATTTGGGTGCCCAGTGGAGTGTCTTCCCAGGCCCAGGCTTTCATGGAAGAATGAGGGCAGAGGCAGAGCAGGGGAGAGAAGGCTCCTACCTAGCTGCAGAGGGATGAAGGAATAGTCGACCCTCTTCTGGGATTCATTCATTCATTCGAAAGCTCTCCTTCCTCCCTGCTGCTTCTGCTTCGGTTTTTCTATTGCACAAGACCCCTCCCTTCTCAGTCGGAACATCCAGGTTATGGAAGTGTAGAGCAGATAAAGGTTGCTATTCTCCTAAACAATGGACAGAAAGAGATAACCCTTAATCATGCCCAGAAAAAAGATACACTAGCAAAGCGAGAGACAGGAAGACTTAAAAAAAAAATCCTGCTAACTTATCCGAAGCAG